CGCAACATCGTCGAAACTAAACTCGGGACGTAGGCCAGACATGGGATCATGTGCCAGTCGGTAACAAAGGGTCGGCAACAAAGGACCGCCTACGTAAATAAACAACCCAGCTATGTCGGTAGGCATCAAAGGACATGACACATGTTGATATGGACACCAATTGCAGCCGCGATGTTAACATGACACCTCCAATCCCAGTTCGCCTGTACTTGAAACTCGTGGCCCAGCTCGCAGAATGGATAGATTGCAGCACTTATAACATTGACTTACCAATCATTACCCAATTTACTTATTAATTTGAACTTTAATATTGAAATATTATAACACTTTATATCTTTAATTATCATTATGTGTTTTACAACTTTTACATTATTTTCACGCCCAGTATGGAATATTTTTTCTAAACTAGAACGCCATCTTTTATAATGTTAACCCTTTATTGTTATATATTACAATCATCTTCGTCAATACCATCCAATTTTAAGAATCAAGATCGCTCCCCGTCTGGTCTCACATAATATAATCGGGAAGATCTGGCATAGACCAACTTCTCAGACCGGACCAAAGCGACATAGGACCACATTGCCTCCCCATAGGTCAAACTAAAGACACCAATAATCTTGGACCTACACCTAGACATTGTGTGAATATGTTCCTTTCTTTTTTTTTCAGGAACGAATATTTTTTGTTTTCTTTTAACTTTTCTTCAAAAGAGACATTTTTTGCTCCATTTGTTTATCTAATCATTAATAACCTTTAATTATATTATATATTTTTTTGTATAAAATCTTGAATAATTATTTTTTTTATTTTTTTTTACTTTTCAATTATAATCAAATTTTTATTCCAACATTATTTTAACAACTTTATTTTAACAATGGCAAAACAGTTAATTCTTTCAATAATCATTTTTAATTCATTATTATATCTTTTATATATTACTAATTCTCATTATTATATCTTTTATATTTTGCTAATTCATTATTATGTCTTTTGTATATTACATGTTTGATCTTATCCCCTTATACTGTTGTTATCCGCAATCATATTTCTATCTTTTTATTCACTATATTTTTGTTTAAATAACTTTATTATATGACAATGTTTATCATCAACTATCGGGCATCTACAACAATCGTTTTCAACAATCATATTCTTTAACTAATTCCCTATACTTTCTCACTACCTATTTCAGCCATTGCTAGAAACGACAGTACTGCTTGACAATTTTTCTTTTGATTTCGTAATTCAACAAACTCTTTGAACACAGTTCCCCAGAAGTACAAGTCTCGACTTTTTGGTCTGAACACGTTTCAAAAGTTTATTTCAATCATCCGCAGAGCACATCACCAACGCATGCACAAAGCGTTCACTTTTTTTTCAACTTTCAATTTTTTTCAGCTCTAGCGGACCACAATCAACCTTTGATTTCAAGTCAAGTCAGACCACCTACTGTCGCTACAACAATTCTACTTATCGCATGGCTCTACCACCCCTTTCAATCATATTAATTCTTTTCTTCAACTTTTTAACCCAATAACCCTACAATTGTGACAAAGCACTGTAACCTTATACAGGATCACAGGTGAAACATTGCCTAGGAAGACGCACAAGTCTATATCCTCGCTTTGCACCTGGACCTAAGTATTTGATTGTCTGTGCAACACTTACAATTGCATATTCTTCAACCCCTAACCCTTTCCAACGCCCGCCAACAATCTCTTAGAACATCATCATTATTTTTTTTAGCAAACAAAGGTTTTATCTACAGTTCTCTTTTATAATGAATATCATAACTTTTAAATTAAACATAAGTTTTATTTTTATAATTTTCAGATATAGCCAAATAAACATCTTGTTATAGCCCTTTACCCTCACAGTTTTAATTAATTAAAAGAAATTTTAATTACTTACCTGTGTTAGAGAGGCTTTACCCGCTTAAACCCGGATAAACCCTTTCACTCACGGGGCCCATCTATGATAATTTAAACCAATAACCCTATATTATGTAATTTATAACAAGATTGTCATGTTGTATATAGAACTAATTATAAACTATAACTAATTATATGCATAATTGACATGTCTCCTTGCATCACCAAATGTAATGTACTGAGGATGAATAAATAAAAATATATAATAGATTAAAAACTGAGTTAAGAGCCAGAGAGAGATTTACAAAGTAACTTCTAAAGATAGATGGAAGCCCAGACTGGTGCCAGAGTCGAGTTGCGGACACGTGCAGAAAGGCAATACTTCCTGGTCCACTTCCTAGTCCCCTTCCTGGTCCAAAAAAGTTGTTTAAATAGGACCCCACGTAGCAACAGCCATTTTCAGTTCCAGTCAGTTCCCCATCTGCGTGTCGCCGGTTGTCACCAACTCATCGACGATGTAAAACAGTAAGAAACCTTCTCGATCTCCATCTTTGCTCTTGGCTCGCTTTTTATCTATTCAAGGTACTTCCCTTCTACAACGTGTCGCTTCGTTTTTTGTGTGTGTGGACATTCCTAGCTTTTCCACTCTGCCTCGACCACGACTGCCTGTACTTTGGGAGAACTGTTAAAGGTCCTACAAGGTGCAGCGAGGTACTGGAAAACTCTCCACCCCTGACTGTCCCTCGCGGTTACTACAGGTTTGACCCTCGGTTGCCACAACTTATAGCGAGAGTCGACGAGGTTCTACAACAGGCTTACCAAACCTCAACGCATTATTACAGCTAGTCGACAGGATCCCTAATCACAGATAAGGATCTCAACAACCTATTATTACAGAGAGTCGACAGGATCTCAACACAATATTACATATATATATATATAAAGAGACAAAGGTCGCCTCTCCCGTCAAAATAGATCATTTTCCTCCCGGCAAAATTTCCATCTATATATATATATATATATACATATCATATTTATTGTTATATGCTGATTTACCTTTTTGACTAGTTATTAGGGATATGTTTTGAATAATGTTTTGTAAAGAAAACTCCCTAATCGAACCATCTTATGACATAACCTCTTAATTCCTACATTTCTGTTTTTCAAAGAACACGCTATATAAAGAAACTCTTCCCAAAGGAATAATCTCTAGGGGAAAATATCCCTAGATCTCCTTGGACTATTTGTAGTGTTTAGACATAGGAATATAGGTAGTGATTGTAGTATGTTTATATTGAAGTATATTTGTGCCCTTTAAAGGTTCTGTACTTTATGTGTACTTCATTTGAAGCGGGATTGAGAGGTTGTATGTACGTCTGGGCTGTCAGTACTGTAAATATTCGGGGAGGTCTCCGGGAGGAAGCCCAATAAGGGTCGGGCAGGAGCAATTACTGGTTTCTTAGTCACCCTGGTTACGGCATCGATCCTCTCTCAATTCCGAGGTGGTACATCCCGAGATGACGTTGCTTTAAATCAATGATGGCATCGAGTAGCGCTGTCCGGCTGGATGTCGGTGTTGTGGAGTCTGTCTGTGGTGTCTCTCCATCTGTCTGTCTATGGTGTCTCTCCATCTGTCTGTCTGTGGTGTCTCTCCACATGTCTGTTTTTGTGTCTCTCCATCTGTCTGTCTATGGTGTCTCTCCATCTGTCTGTCTGTGGTGTCTCTCCATCTGTCTGTCTATGGTGTCTCTCCATCTGTCTGTCTGTGGTGTCTCTCCATCTGTCTGTCTGTGGTGTCTCTCCACATGTCTGTTTGTGGTGTCTCTCCATCTGTCTGTCTATGGTGTCTCTCCATCTGTCTGTCTGTGGTGTCTTTCCATCTGTCTGTCTGTGGTGATACTCCATCTGTCTGTGGTGTCTCTCCATCTGTCTGTCTGTGATGTCTCTCCATCTGTTTGTCTGTGGTGTCTCTCCATCTGTCTGTCTGTGGTGTCTCTCCATCTGTCTGTCTGTGGTGTCTCTCCATCTGTCTCTCTGTGGTGTCTCGCCATCTGTCTGTCTGTGGTGTCTCTCCATCTGTCTGTCTGTGGTGTCTCTCCATCTGTCTGTCTGTGGTGTCTCTCCATCTGTCTGTCTATGGTGTCTCTCCATCTGTCTGTCTGTGGTGTCTCTCCATCTGTCTGTGGTGTCTCTCCATCTGTCTGTCTGTGGTGTCTCTCCATCTGTCTGTCTGTGGTGTCTCTCCATCTGTCTGTGGTGTCTCTCCATCTGTCTGTGGTGTCTCTCCATCTGTCTGTCTGTGGTGTCTCTCAATCTGTCTGTCTGTGGTGTCTCCCCATCTGTCTGTCGCCACACTCCATCTGTCTGTCTGTGGTGACACTCCATCTGTCTGTCGTCACACTCCATCTGTCTGTGGTGTCTCTCCATACGGAAGAAGCTATCTTTATCATATATTTATATATACTTCATAACACCTCATTATTTACATAAAGAAAATATTTAGTGTTATATATAATTAAAACTTAGTTTTGTAATTTCTTTTTATATATAACTAGCCGAATGACCCGGGCAACGCCCGGGTTTTACCCGATTAAATGTTTTTATTTAAATACTATTCGTTACAATTATAAATTGACGGCGTGGATGTCACTCTTGTGAAACGTCCCGCTCCAAACTTTGTGTCTGAGAAGCGATATTTTTATAGAAAGATGATCTGGCTTTTGTTTTCTGCTCGAATGAATGTTTTTCTGTTAGAATTTTGTTCCTGCGTACAAAATAATGAGCTGGTTTCACCCGTGGTCTCTGCTTTTTGGAATATTTTTCCCGATATAATTTTGTATCTGATAATCTTACATGATACAGCAATATCGTCATCATCATTTTCTGACTAATAATATATAGGTTTAATAATTGATTTATATATTTTTTAAAATAGCCTATCGTCTTCCCCGTATTTTTTTACCTATGTATGGAAATTTTGGTTTGAATTAGTGAACTACTGCGAATTTGTATACCGGACATACAAACCAACAAACAAACAAACAAACATACAAACATTCATTTTTATATATATAGAAGATATAGAAGATATAATATAAATGAGTTTTAAAAATTGTTAAAAAAAAATGCATCGGCCGGGAATCGAACCCTGGCGCCCGCGTGGCAGGCGAGCATTCTACCACTGAACCACCGATGCTTTAAAAAAATGGCCATTTTTAGGTATTCATTCCATTCCGGATTAGTCTGCGTAAAAAAAAGTTCTTCAAATGAAAAAAAGAAATAGCCAAAAATACTAATCAAAATGCAGCCGAAAATTTTCCTCAGGTTTATAAAAAGCGACATGCAAAATTTGGTACCAATTGGTTCAGTAGTTTTTGAGTTTATCGCGAAACAGACAGACAGACAGAAATTGACTTTTATATATATATATATTGTTGCACCAGGTTGCGGCTTGGCAGACTCTTCAGCCTGGATTCTCTCCTGTGCTGGGTCCTGCATCTTACCAGAGCGTGTTTCAACCATCCTAGAAATTTATAAAAGGGAATAACGAGATAAGTCTTCTTTAAGTAGCCACCAGAATCCTCTCTTTATTTTCTCACATCAAAGAGAGCAGTGAAGTCACAGTGTACCTAAATACAAATGATGATAAATTAATAATCTGTTTTAAATAAATATCATAGAATATTTTATATAAAAATAAATAAATATATAATTTAAATTTCAAATATATTAAAACTAATATAAGAAATACGCCATTAATCATGATGTAACACTTCCCCCTCTCCAGAGGTCGTCACGTCCTCGTGAGTTACCTCATCAATTCTTTCAAAATAGGGTTTGATTCTTGAGACATGGACAATCAATGGGTCTTGGCCAGGATTATCTTTTGGTTCAATTAAGTAATTTACGTTGGACAGCTTCTTTAATATTCTATATGGGCCAAAATATTTTCTCAGTAGTTTCTCACACTTTCCTATTTTCCTAATTGGTGTCCAAACTGCTACTAATTCTCCTGGTTCGTAGCTTCTTTCCATGTGTTTCTTGTCATAGTTCTTTTTCATTCTTTCTTGAGTCTTTATTGTGTTGTTAATAACTAATTTTCTTGTTCTGTTTATTTTGTCTAAGTGATGTTTTATGTATTCATCATAATCATCTTTGTCAATGTCCACCGAGATATTCCTGTCGTCCAAAAGAGACGTGGGTTCTCTTCCAAACATCAGGAAAAAGGGAGAATATCCTGTGGTTTCCTGAATTGTAGTATTGTAAGCGTGAGTGATGAATGGGAGTATTTCGTCCCAATTTTTCTGATCAGTGTTCACATACATACTGAGCATATTGATCAATGTTCTATTTAACCGCTCTGTCAATCCATTAGTCTGGGGATGATAGCTCGTTGTGAAGCAATGTTTAATCTTGCACGTTTTCATCACCTCTTTCATTAAATTACTGGTAAATTGAGAGCCTCTGTCACTAATAAGATATTGTGGGGCTCCGTGCCGAAGAAAAATATCCTCTACTAGAAATTTAGAAACTTCTTTCACTGTTGCTTCCGAGACTGCTCTTGTTTCTGCATATCTAGTGTAGTAGTCCGACAGCACGATTATCCATTTTTTCCTGTTTTTCGTAGATGGTAGTGGACCAACAAAGTCAATTCCAATTCTTTCGAAAGGAAAGTTGGCTGGGGGGATGGGCTGTAGTAGTCCAGAAGGTAATTGGTTTGAGCCTTTCCTACTTTGGCAAAGGTGACACGTCTTAACGAATTCTGAGACATCCTTTAGCATGGATGGCCAAAAGTATTTACTCTTTATTCGGTACATGGTTCTGGCGACGCCCAGATGGCCATTCGACATATGATTGTGATATTCTTTCATAATTTCTCTCTTTTTATTCTCTGGAACCACAAGCAACCACGCCCTGCCTTCAGGGTTCGGGTTTTTCTTAAAGAGGCATCCATCTTCTTCTTTAAAGTTTTGCGCAATTGATCGCCTGCTTCCATTAAGGTTTTTCTTAACACTTTCGATAAATTTATCCTCTTCGTCTGTTATTTGATTTAAAAATAGCCTTTCAAAATCCTCATCCCAATCAGTTTCTGGTAAGGGCCCCCTAGATAAGCCATCGGCGTCCAGATGCTTCTTTCCCGATTTATGTATTATATCGAAGTCATATTCTTGAATTTTCAATGCCCATCTTGCCAATCGACCTGTTGGATCCTTCAAGTTTTTGAGCCAGCATAAGGCGTGATGGTCTGTTACTATTTTAAAGTGTCTTCCATAAAGGTAGGGTCGTAATTTTGACATTGACCAGACAACGGCCAGACATTCTTTTTCAGTGGTTGAATAATTTTGCTCCGCTTTACTTAGGGTACGACTCAAATATGAGATCACCTTCTCTTCACCACCGATGTCTTGGACAAGTGTTGCACCTATGCCGATGTTGGACGCATCAGTATGAACATAAGTAGGTGCATTTGGATTGAAGTGACCTAAAATTGGTGGACTTAATAGTGCTGTTTTTAGGGTTTGAAACGCTTCCTCTTGTCTTTCTGTCCAGGTAAATGATACACTTTTTTTTATAAGGTTGGTCAAAGGGTCAGCAATTTTTGAAAAGTCTTTGATAAATTTTCTATAATATGAACACATTCCCAAAAAGGATTGTACTTCTTTGACCTTTTTGGGCCGAGGAAAATTTCTGACAGCTTTGATGTTATGTTCCGCGGGTTTTATACCATGTTTGCTCGTTATATAGCCGAGAATTTCCAATTCTTCAAAAGCAAATCGGCATTTTTTGTCGTTTAACCTTAAATTAGATTCACGAAAACATCTAAAAACAGCTTCAAGTCTTTTGAGGTGCGTTGGAAAATCCGGGCTATATATGATAACATCATCCAGATAACACAAACAAATTTGCCATCTCAGATTTCCAAGCATATTCTCCATATTTCTCTCAAAGGTAGCAGGCGCGTTACAAAGTCCAAAGGGCATCACGTTGAATTCATATAATCCATGCGCTGTAGTGAAAGCTGTTTTCTCTTTGTCTCTTTCTTCGACTTCAACTTGCCAATATCCAGATCTGAGGTCTATTGCTGAGAAGTGTGTAGATCCTTGGAGAGTATCCATAACTTCGTCTATTCTAGGGATCGGATAGACATCTTTTACCGTCACATTATTCAGTTTTCTGTAGTCCACACAAAATCTGTATTTACCATCTCGCTTCTTGACCAATATTACTGGAAAAGACCAGGGGCTAGAAGATGGCCTAATTATGCCTTCTGTAAGCATCTCGTCAATTTGCTCTTTTATAATATCTCGTTCTTTAGCACTTACCCGGTAAGGCTTGTGTTTAATTGGCTTCGCGTCTTCTGTGTCTATCCGATGTTTTGCCAAATTGGTTCTCCCTAATCTCGATGAAAAAAGATCTCCATACCTTTCTAAAACTTGTTTTAACTCCTTCTGTTCCTTTGGTGAAAGATTTTCGTTTATTTGGAATCTAGGTTCTTCGTTCTTTTCTACCTCTCTTTCTCGACTCACATTTATTTTCGCTGGACTACTTCCAAAAGCCAATGTTTGGTTTTTCATTATTTTTAACGGGCGAGGATACGGATTAGTTATCCAGATGTGTGTTTCCCTATTTATAACATTGATCAAGCTTCTTGCTAGACGAAGTCCATTTGTTTGAAACATTTTGCTGCTCTCTTCGATAATATATTCTCCATCCTCTGTTTCTACCAATGCCTTGATCAATTACATGGAACATTCCGGTACAATGGAATCCTTGGCACTCTTTATTTTCAACATTTCAAAATTGATTTCGTCATGATTATTCGTCAAATCATATTTTATAGTTTCTTGCTTACAATCTATTTTTGCGTTCATTTTCTTAAGGAAATCTCTCCCAAGAATTAATGTCCGTAAATGCGTTTTCAATATCACAAAGTTGTGTGATAATGTTTCGTCATCAATTTTTATATTTAAAAATATACTTCCTACCATGTCCAATTTTTTTCCATCGGGTCCTGCACAAATTTTTGCGAGTTTACTTATACCATGGCCTGTATCGAGGGCCGTTCTGAGGTCGACCACTGAGAGGTCAGCACCTGTATCAACCAAAGCTTCAAAAGTCCCTATCTTGTCCACATTAATTTTTAATTTGTATTTAGGGTCCAACTTCTTGATTCCGTTTATGGTCGACTTGCTTTGATTGACAGATTCAGGCGCGACGCTTAGTTTAAATCTTCCAACACGGAATATCTATTCCGGGTAGGAATATTTGTCTGTGTGCTATGACATACATCAGCATAAAGCCGAGGTCCTGATTTCTCTGATGTTTCATTCATTTGGCATTTTTCTTCGACCTTCTCTTGGGTATCTGCTGGATCCTCTTCTAGGATTCTTATAAACTTGACCCTACAATAACGGGCCACGTGCCCTGGCTTGTTACATTTAAAGCAGATTGGTCTTCCATCTTCCGTCCTATTTTTGCTCACTTCTTGGCTTTTATTGTAAGTGTTTCTCTGAAGGTTTGGTTTCGGCACAAAGTTAGGATTATAAGGACGTCTAGGGGTAGAGGGCTGGGGAAAGTTGTTTCGATACTGTCTGGGGGTAGGAGGGGAGTCGTTCTTGTAATTATTGGAAACAGGGGCTTGGGGCCTGGAAGTGGTCTGGTAGTTTCGTGCGGCAGTCGGCGGCACGTACCTCGATTGTTGTTGGGGTCTAGAATAGCGTGGACCGTTATATAGGTTTCTGGATTTCTCCACACGTTCCCGATACTTCTTTTCAAAATAATCCATTTTCTTGCACACGACAAGAAGGTCATCGGTCGTTTTAGGAGGGTTCAGGTAGAGCGCGAATGAGTACTCTTTTTTCAGTCCTCCAATAACATGTTCAATTTTTGTTTCTTCTTCCATTGCGGGGTCAACCTTGTTGCACAACACTAGAATGTCTTCCGCGAACCTGATTGCTGGTTCATTCCAGTGTTGCATTCTGTTGAGCTTCATTCTAAGTTCTTCTTTATTCGCGTCCAAAGAAAAATCCTGAATGAGGCGGATTTTAATATTTTCCCAGCTCGTGAAACTAGCTTTGTGTAAATTCAACCAGGTTTTAGCGCTTCCCGTCATGTTCATGGCGGCATAACGAGAGATAATGTAGTCTGCCCAATGGTACAAGAAGCCAATTTCTTCAAGAGATTCAATCCATGGGC